ATCTGCAATTCAATTTTGTGATCTCTCTTCTGACTTGAGAATTGTGTGATTTTTAGACCTTTTACAAGTTGATCAGAAGCTGGGCATCAAAGAAGTTCATGACTGGATGGTAGGGACTTCTTTCTTGCTTATTGTAATAGAGGATCTAATGTCTGTTTTGCTTGTTTTTTTTTTAGGTTCTATTGTAGCATCAAGTTCTGCCAATATATTCTGACTACTAGATCACCTTGCAGTGTTATCTTGCTTCCAATGGCGATCACTTTCTATGTGACATGGTGGTTTATTCACTTCGTTGACGGATTTTTCTCCCCAATATATGCTCAACTCGGAATTGATATATTTGGTGAGCTTCTCTAGTCCTTCTATATCTGTGTCTAGTAACTAATTGGCAATCACAAAGTAACTTTATGATATCTAGATCAGGTTCTTTGGGGATATGCGTATCTATTAATATGAAACACATTATTACCCGGTTCTACAATTAGAAGACAATGTAGCAGACAAGATTTGATGTCAGTCCTTTTTGTAATTTGATTTCCAGGACTTGGCTTTATCACATCCCTTACTTTCATCTTCTTGGTTGGAGTGTTTATGTCTTCATGGTTGGGTACGTCAGTTCTGAATCTGGGAGAGTGGTTTATCAAGCGAATGCCATTTGTTCGCCACATTTACAATGCGTCCAAGCAAATCAGTACTGCTATATCACCAGGTATTGTTGGGTTTCTTTCTTTTAATCTCTTGATTGGTCGTTTTCGTTGGAGTCTTGATTATATGACTTCTCACCATTATATTCCAGATCAAAACACCCAGGCTTTCAAGGAAGTCGCCATTATAAGGCATCCACGTATTGGAGAATACGCGATTGGGTTCATCACATCGACCGTTGTTCTCCAGGTCTGTTACAAGAAACTCTTAACCTTATGGAAATGCAGATATTATCAAAACCTATAAATTTCTTAAAATCCTTGCAGACTTACGCAGATGAAGAGGAGCTTTGCTGTGTGTATGTGCCGACAAATCACCTTTACATTGGAGATGTATTCCTTGTAAATACAAAGGATGTGATCAGACCAAATCTCTCAGTAAGGGAAGGCATAGGTGAGTAAGATTCCATTGATTCCATCATGAAAATGTCGA